TTCTACTAAATCGTTACTTTTCTACGTCATCTGTTTCTACATGAAACGTATTAACGTTCGCTTATTATTTTGATGATTTGCAGATGATGCGCAAAGCGAATAAACGCAAAGAATCAGATATGGACTTCGAAGAGAAAAAGATGAATTTAAGTTTAGGCCAGGACGAATTAGACAGAGAGGCAGGATATTACGTTAGAGCAGCCAGTCCGGAACCACCAGCTGAAAGGTGGCCACCTAGAGAGGCACCTCGAAGAATGCCTCCGCCAAGAATTACACCGGAGAGATACATAGAAGAACCAGATCCTTACTATGCACAGCCAACGGCACCGCCGGAATATTATAGGTAACATTTATCAAACGTGAAACAAGTCTGAAATTATCCAAGTCACCACCTACGACATCAAAATCGTTTCGCTCGAGAAATAATTTTTTAGATTCACCTAGAAGCGATCACTTTATCTACGAAATATTTATTTAAATATTTCTCTTTTCGAATAGGAGAGTGCATTACAAAGCAGACACTCGAGTCACCACTGAATATCGAGAACGTATCGATTATCACCCTGTACCTCGCGGTACACCCCATTCCGTTTCTCCGCCACCTCACACAAGAGAACGCGAAAGAGAAAGGGAACGCGAACGCGACAGAGAGCGTGAATATTACGAAAAGTACGAGAAGAAACATAAACGTCCATCGAGAGAAGTTATAGTGGAACGTATACCGCCGACGAAACCATGGCGAGAAGAGGAACCACCGCAGGTGGAGAGGAGCAGAGGCGACGAATGGGCGGATCCTTGGATGCGGAGGAAATCGCCCAGTGCCGTACGTCGGAACACGTCTCGACGTTCGCGAAGGCAATCGTATTCTTCGGGATCGTCGTACTCGTCTACGAGGTAAACATTGTAATCGTGACTGCGATCGGAGGTAGTTCGCTTAGATCCTTCGCCAGGTCGAATTTTGTCGAAGATGACAATGGAACAAAATAAGAATTTTGGGAATTGATGACGTTAACACGATAGCACTGTAAATAATAGGTGAATAGAAAATGAAAAATTACCATAGAACTCTGGAAGCTGCAGTTTGACAAAATTCGACCCTGTCTGAAAGCATCGAGCGAGCCCCTGACCGCAATTATTTCGTTTCAGTAGTTCCTTACCCCAGTTTATAAGTACTAAAAACGTCGCCATTAAATTTCTTGCATCTCATTCTATTGGGTTGTCCAGAAAGTTCGTGCCAATTTTTAAGAAACATTCAAAGACACGTTTGAATTTCGATATATATTTATTGAATTATATATGTACCATTTTGTTCCACAATTTTTCCACCTTCTAAGGGATGTCCACATATTATTTGTTTTCAACCGATATTATATTCCGATATATTCAGACCTGTACCGCCTACTAAAAATCGGCATGGACTTTCCAGACAACTCAATATTACACTAGTATTCGAATCTTGTTTGATATTTCTTTTCTCGTCGAATGTATCCCACGTACGAAAACGTACAAGTGTACTGTATGCTGTTTTTAGTTCTAGCCGTAGCTCGAGCCGCTCTAGCTACAGTTCTTACGACTCCCTATCCAGGTCCCGTTCACCATCCCCTCCCTCTAGAACCCGCGGTGCCGGCAAGGGGAAAGCAGCCGCGACATCGCCACCCTCGAATCCTCCGACGGTGACAGCTGCCGCGCCTCAACGTGGCGCCATGTTGATGAACCCACCCGCTCCTTCTCCCCGTCCACCCAAAGGTTCCATTTCTCCCACGACTGGTACTCTTCATCGACGGGCTGGTCTCAACCCACCCGCGCCGAGTCCGCTTTCCTCTCATCAACGTCATCACGAGAAAGCACGAGACAAAGCAGCCATAGCAGCCGCTGCGGTGGCAAAAGTTATTAAAAGTCGATCGAGATCAAGGTAAAAGAAACATGAAAGATATGTACAATGTTATTTCGGCTCGGTAAAACCTTGATTTGTTTGTTTGTAGTATAGTATATAGTATAGTCTCTAGTATAGCCAGAGACTCCAGCTATAGTCTCTAGTATAGCTAGAGACGATACAGAGTGGAATATATCTAAATAAAATCTGTTAAATCGATGTTTTACTTTACCATAATCTCTCTCAATTTAAAATTTAAAAGTAAAGATAATGGTAAAGCACGACAATTTGTTTGTAGATCGTCGCATAGTAGCTCAGGATCGGAGAGCAGCGGTAGCAGCAGCGACTCCAGCGAATCGAGTTATTCGTCTTCTTCTAGCGAGACTCGTCGAAGAAAGGGTTCGACTCCGCCGATAACGCGAAAGGATTCCAAGGGTATCGACGCCTTGAAGCTTAGCGGCACCAAGCAGCAAATCAAGCTCACATTGAAGCCGACGAGTAATACCGCCGGCGTGAAAAAGATCGATCGGTCCGCTTTGATGGCTGGAAAAAAGAGAGGATTAGAATCGCCACCTTTGATCGATAGCAAAGCGAGCGTTGCCGCGGCCGCAGCCAAAGCGGCTAAGAAAGCGAGCTCGCGACGAGAAGAACTGTTGAAGCAACTCAAAGCGGTAGAAGACGCGATCGCTCGAAAGAGATCGAAAGTTTAATAACGCGGCTTTAATCACTTTGGAGGTAAATATGTATGTACGCGCATAAATATTTCCTAGATATATCGTGTAATTAGCTGTTACGAAATAACGTGTGATACGAAAAAAAAAGAATGTCATATTAGAACGAGAGTTTCTAATTTCACGAATATGTTTTCAATCGCGATATCGATATTTTATTCTTTTATTTTCTTTCTCGTCGATATGTAAACGCATAGAGTGTCGCGCAAACGTCATACTGTACAGTATCTTCCTCATTCGGAAGTAAAAAAGTGCGCGCGTCACGTATATTCGCACGCGCGCACCATCTATACACGTATAAATGTAAATGTGAACATCTCGAGTAACGCAAGTTTTTTTTTTTTTTTTTAAGGATCAAAGGATTATAGCAATCCGTAAAGATAGAGTAAAAGTACAGATACGAAACGACGTCATAAAAATGCCAAACGCGCGTGAATAAAAGCTAAACGTATAACAGAAGTGTATTCACTTATGTATGTACTGTGAAGATTTTGTTGAAATACACAAAATGTCTATGTCGTAACAGATCTAACGTATGTCTAGCAGATTCGAAAGAGTTTTGTGGTATTGAACGACAATAAAATGTCGCGCCTGTACAAATATTCTAGAATTTCTTTGGTGCGTCTCAAGAAACGGTCCGTCGCCGAACTGTCACAAGCATAAAAAGTTAGTTTTAAAAAAAATCAGTCACTGTCGAACCGTTTACAATTCATCTTCAATTTCAAAGAGTCTTATGCAGTCTGTAGTATCGAATAAAACCAGTTCACATAACCACTCGAGCAAGATTTAATTTCATTAAACTGTGGCAAAAAATATGTTAATGGATATAATATATTAATCAGAAGGGTCGATAGACCTTATGGATGGTCAACAACCCGACGTTCGATATTTGTGATCACGGAAACGAATCTGGATCCTATCTAAATCGACGGACCGTTTCTTGGGACGCACCACTGACCGCTCTTATTTGTTTTTGTTTCGTTAACGAATTCAGTTTACGTTCTTTGCATTATTAGTTTAAAAGGTGATTATCCATGCAAAGCGAACAACATTTACGATTAGATATTAATTTGCGTGGACGTTAATGTAAATAAATCGTTAATGATCGAGCCACGAAACAGCCTGAGAGAACAGTTTGAATTCAGTGTAACGAGAAAATATACGCGTATTAACCCTTTGCACTCAAGGCCATTTTTTTTGTATTGCCACGAATGTTAAATTTATTGGTACTTCTAGTTCCAAATTAAACTTAAAGAATCATTATTGCTGGTAGGTTTGCTACGTGAAACCTAGTGGTGATACCTCTCGAGTGCAAAAAGTTAAATAGAGCGCGTATCTTGTACTGCTATATTATTTACGTTACGCGTACAAAAGGTTGAAATCGTAACATTTTTATTACTAAACAAAATGAGGTAATTACTATCGAATTTTATACTACACTTAGAATATTACTTGCCACGCTGATAGGTAAATAAATTTGTTGGGCAAACGTAGCGACGCGGAAGGATTATTAAGAAAGATGTATTCTTTTATACAATTTTTTGTAGGTTAGTGACTTTAAATACAATAATAGTAAAAAGTACAGAAAATCCGGTGGAAGCAACACGCGTGACAATGTATTTTGTACTTTAAACTACAAATCATGTTCGATTCGTATTACAAGCACTTTCTCCAACTACGGGACAAACACGTTGTTAACAATGAAGTTTATTATTAAATACAAATTACAAAACAAGGCCACAAAAGGCATATCCATAACAATTGATTGTACTGTACAACTATAGTTTGATACAACAATCCATACAGAGGTAGAAAAGAACACGTACTTTGTTTAATCGTATTGTAAAATATTAAGAAGTAAGTACGGATCACTCGCGTGATTCGATTAAGACGTTTCTTTCGAAGTAATTGTTTCGATTAAACAAACTATCACCGATAGCGCGGTATAATTCATTCAGAACATCGAACGCGTATCCGATGTGCTATATGTGTATCCGGTACCCCAAGATTTAATAAACCGTTTCCATAATTAACATTTTGTTCGTTAGCGATTAATTCGTCAAGCCTATGTTAAATAAAAAGTAAAACTATCGTAAAGTAACTTAGAAAAGTTCTGGAAATGTTTTTACTTTCGCGACATTTTACTTTTCGTGTATTTATGGTTAGATAGAGGATTTTTATGCATTTATGATAATACAACTAGTATACCGCCACCTCTTCGACACGCGGTTCTTTTTCCCTTCTCACAATGTTATTACTAGACTGCGGATCTTTATTTAAATAGGAATTCATTTTATTATAGAAATGTTATAATATGAACTTTACTTTCAATCTTTTTTTATATTCTTGCATATTATTGTTTGCATTTTGTAGGTTCTTGTAAATT